AAAAATCTGCTGCTGGAGAGATTAGCAAGTTTTGGAATGGCAAATGCATTTACTCATGCAACACCTTGATCCTGGTACCTGAACTGGATCCCAATCCCAGCTACAGTAAAAAAATGACAAAAAAGCTCCGCCCCTCACACACCTTAATGACCAGGGTATGCACTGAAGAAAAGACTCCAGAAAGAATACTGTTAAGAAGGCCTGCATCCCGCATCCAGATATAAGTAGGGCACCTGCATTTAACTGGATTTCTAATGGTAGGAACACATATGCACAAAAAGCTCTTCCTTTAACTGCCACTACGTAGCAAAAAAGAGTGGCAGGTCCTTGACACCTCAACAGAATCCAAAGAGGCTAGAATCAGGAGAAGAATGGATTAAAATCTTTTGCCATTTTTCTACCTATCCTTTGGTTTCTATACAGTATTTCCCATAGCTATGCTGTAATAACTCCCCGCCTCATCTTCATGCAGCAGTACGAACCCAAAACATTTTTTATGTTGGTGCTTGCACTGCCTGCACATCAGAGATACTGATACATGATTGACTATTGCTGCTCCAGTCCTCTTGCTGGACCCAACACCTCCTAGCTTCTGGTCTAACAGGCAAGAACTTGAAGTACGTTCTGCCATCTGTATAGTTACTGGAACACAAAATCAGAAATAGAATGGAAAAAAACTGGTGGTTGAAATTGTAACACACTTCTGCAGTCCTGATCCAGAAATTAAAACCACAGAACACATGACCACCCATCACTTAAGAGAGTGGTCTCCTTACAGAATAAGGCTGCTTATCCTATATGGAACTTTGCCATAGTGTTTTGGAGGAGGGGGTTAGTATCTGCTAGTCTCATCATCACTTAGAAAGCATTTATTAAGTAATGCCCAAATTATATAGATCATATCTTTACAGGAAATAAGCACATCAGTTAGATGACAGATGTACTCATTCTGTCACTAAGACATTTTCACAGGATTTAAAGCAGAGGAGGTAGATTCAAATGACTGGAAATTCACGGATGTATGTGCAATGCCGATGAGGGCTTCTGTTTCTCCTGCACTTCCATTTTGGAGTATTCTAAACCCTGGCAATAGCTACACAGCTGCTTCCTTTCGATAAAAGGTTGGAGCATATTTAGCCAATTAAAAGCTATGAAAATGTCTCACACATAACTTCCAGGAATTTGTTCTGCAAGAAGAATTTTTATTATTACAAAAAGTATTTATCAAATTATTTAGTTAAGTATTTCCTTAATGAAAACAAGCAAACAAGCACAAATTACAGAAATGTGTAACAATATTATAAAATGTAGGAAATGCAAGGAAGGCTTAAAAATTATATTACCATTATTAAGGTTATATAAATCTCTGTGCCCTGCTGTCCACAGGTACACTTGTACATCCCCTTCAAACCCTTCTGAAGTAATCAGAGTGCTACATTATGCATTTTACAATAGTGTAATTAGCACACAACTTTTGATTTCCAATAGTACATTACTTAGATACCAGACAGATAAGTATCAGTTTAAAAACAAGACTTAATAATAACCATCTTTCTAGACAAACTCCAGTGAAAAAGATCTTTTATTCAATCCTCTGGAGAAGAACCAAAGTTTAAGGCTCCACCAACCTAATTTTGAAATAGTCTGGACTAAAGGAATGAAAGCATTACTCAATCCTCTGGCACCCCTTCGATTTTTCTTTGGAATATTCATCAAATAACAGCGACTTAAACCCTTTCAAACCCATTTTTCAATCCAAAAACACATCCTGTTGTTGCTGCACACCCACACAAGGAGACAAAAGGGACCAAGCCTCTCCTTAATTAACTGCACCCTAGAGAAGACTAGCCATACACCAGCTCAGACTCTGGACTCAGCATCACTCCATCTTTCCATGCCTCCCAGTCACCCCCCCTTCTCCATCCTTAATCTTCTGTGGTTACCTTAGCCTAAGCAGACCAGAACAACAAATAGGCGGGAGAGAGGGAGAGAAGAAAGGGACGTTGCATTTATGAGACACAGTAACTCTTAAAATGTATTTGTTTTAATCTGCATTATTTAGTCACATGCTTCTAGAGAATATTTATAAACTTCATGGTTTGCCCATCTGGGTTTAACATGCCATCCTTTACCTACCCCTCAATTTCCCCTCTATAACAACATTTAAAAATGTTAGAGAGCCAATAAGAAAAAGGTTCAGAACAAAGGGCAAATGTAAATACATTAATGTAAATAAAACGTAACAAGCTAAATGAAATAAAACATACAAGTGCTGTACACCCATGTTACTTACTATTACAGAGCAGTTCATTTGGAAGCAACAGAATGGTATTTCATTTTGACAGTATTTCGACTATAAAATCTCAAAAAAAGAAGACTAATAGTCATGAAGTCTATCACAATAACTTAAGTCCTCCATTAAGAATAATCATAAATTATGTTTAAGGGTAACAAATATGTATGCATTAAAAGAAAAAAAAGCCGTCTAAAAATGATGTAAATCACAATAAAAAATTACTGTAACATGTATTTTCTACATCACAACTACACATTACTGGAACTACACAAAAAAGGGCTAAAAAACCTTTATGCCCTAACACTGTACCAGAATAGAAAACTATTTAAATAGTAATAAAAAAAAATGAAATGCTGTTTCCAGTATACTACATTACTCATTAAAAAAAAAAAAAAAGTTACAGAAAAGGTAGTAGCACAACAGCTGGGCTGCAGCAAACACCCTGAGGGGGAAAAAAAGGGCAGCAACAACATTTCCAGAAATACAGAATTTGCAGTGAAAGTAGAAAGTGTGAACTTACATCCTCTATTTCATCATTTTGACTGGTCCTACAGTAGAGAACCTAAATGACGCTATTTCTGTGTAATAGACATATGAATATGTGTATATGAATATTTCTATGTGTAATACACCAAAACTGACTGTAGACTAACTTCCTCTAAGCTTTAACAAAGAGCCTGTCATTGCTTCCTAACACCTACAAACAACCTGTGAATGAGACTGGTTATTAGCTTATAATATCATCACTTAACTCACTTTTACATTAAAAGTATATATTGCAGTTATGTCAGGAGTATTTGTGCAGATTTAGCCCATCGTATAAAAGCAGACAAAAGATGGCAAACTTCTGCAGACTTTTCAAAATAAATGTCACACAAGCGTATTTTACACGTAATGATAATATTGCTATCAAGCAGATGTATGTGCATGCAACTCATATTTCCTGGAGTATTAGAGCTACCATCTTTGTAAGGCATATTTGGTGAAAAACATTACTAAAAACCTCATGTGTAGCCAGAAACAAGATTTAACTATCCTTTTTATAAAAATACCTACGTTTTCTCAAAACAGATGTTATTGGCAATCCTTGCACCCTTCAACAGGTACACAGTACTCAACAGTTACAGCTCCCTTTCTCTACAAGTTTCCCTATCAAGCAGGGGTAAATCCAGTTGTCTTTTATAGATGCAGTCAACCAGAACGAACAAGTTTGCTTAGATAAAACATGCCATAGTAAATGATGATATACCATCTCCACTTACAGCAATCCTGTTTGCTCACTAGAAGAAAGCTAGGACTGATTATGTGCAGGGAACGATTTACATTCATGGGACAGAACACATTACATCCTTTCCAGGTCCTGAAAATGTGCTGCTGCAGCAACAGAAGCCAGTTTACGCTATCAGTCTTAGAAACGTTTAAAGAGCTGCTCTACAAAGACTGTTTATTTCCATTTCAAAATACTCCAAAAAATTACAAAGCATAGACAGTAGCACATTAAGGAAAAGAGAAATTATAGATATATTTGAAAAAAAAAAAAAAAAAAAAAAAAAAGAGGGAGAAACCTGGAATTGTGGGTGAAAAAAGAGCCTTACAGCTGTGATTAGTGAGCCGTGTGTTTATACATCTTTCAACATTATACAAAGCACTGGGTGAATTTCAGACTGCCTCACATGGCAAAAGACTGCTGAAAGAAACTTGTTGCCAATGTTGTTAAAATAGAAAACTGATACTTGATGGTAAAAACACGAAGCTTATTATAAATGTCAAATATAGGATTATAAAGCAATACACAGAGATTCCGGACTTGAATTTCGGTGCATAATCCAACCATCTGTCGACCAGTTGTGTAGCAAAATCAAGATAACCTGGAAATCTCCAAAAGGACAGCCAAATTCTTTTCCTTCAGCTACTGCATTTCCCGGTTTACGAACATGCCCGCGGTAATCGCACTCTGCCTGCAGATTAACCTAGAGGAGATGACACCCGCCACCAGCAAGAGAGATTGCAAAGGCGACCGTGGCAGACAGGGCCGATAAGCGGGGCTCAGCTGCCGGTGAGCGAGGCTGCAGAGCCGGGCGGTGCGCGGGGTCCGGGGCCGCCCAGCCCGAGCGCCGCGCTAATGCTGCTAATGCTGCTAATGCTGCTGCTGCTGCTGCTGCTGCTGCTGGGGACCAGCACGGCGCTGCACGGCGCAACCCCGAAGTTAAACTCGCTGCTCCCGACTCCTCTCCCACCGCCGGGACGCCGGCGCGGCTCAGCCCGGAATCGGGCAGTGCTGCGGGTCTCGCAGCTTCCCAGAACACCCTCCTCGCCCAGCGGGGACCTCTCAGGAGAGGCTCCCCTCAGAAAAAAAATAAAACTTCGAGGGGCGCCCTGTGGTGGGAAGTCGCCGAGAAGAGCCGCCTCGCAGTCGAGGAGAGCGCGGGCGGTCGCGGGGTGCACGGCTCCCGGGACACGGGGCTCCAGCCCGCTCCGGGCCGCCGGGCAGCGCAGCGATGCCCAGAGCCCCGGGCACGGCCAGGAGCTGCCCTGAGCCCAGCCTGGACACCAGTTGCTCGACCCGCGGTGAAGAAGCGGTAAAAACAGTCTGGGGGAGGCAGCAAAGCTCCGGGGGAAGCTCCGGACCCCGGCCTGCGGGCGGTGGGGCGCTTGCCCCATACGGGGCAGACGGGGTTCCGCGCGCGCAGCCCTTCATTCTCACCTCCTTAAGTTCCTTGGCGACATCTTTCAGGTCCCCCAGGACTAATTCCAAATCCTCCACGATGATCTTGATCTGCTCCTTCACCTTGGCTTTGGAGGCTGCCGGCGGCCCCTCGGACGGCGAGGAGGAGGAGGATGCGGTCCCTTTGGACTGGGCGGACATCCTTCGGGGCAGCCCGGCGCGGCCAGCGGGGCACGCAGGTCAGGCGAGCGCGGCGGCCGCCAGCCGCCCGGCCCCGTCCGTCCAGCTCCCGGAGCTGCCGCAGCCGCTGCCGCCACCGCCGCCTGCCCGCCCGCGCATCCCGCGCCGGGGGCGCCGAGCCGCGCCGCGCTCCGCCGGGCGGCCGCGCTGTGCAGCTGCCATCGGCTCCCGGAGCGGCGCGGGGGCCCGGCTGCAGCCCGCCGCGCGCCGCGCCTGCGCCTCGCCCCGCCCGCGCCGCCGCCGCGCCCGGCCCGCCCCGGCCCGGCCCGGCCCGGCCCCGGCTCCGAGCGGCAGCGGGGCCGCGGGAGGAGCGCTCACCGCCCGCGCTCCCCGGGGGAGGCAGAGGCCGGGCGGCTGCTTCGGAGGAGATGTTCTCGCACCTCCTCGGTGCCCGAAGGCCCGTGAGGGCGAGAGCCCTGTGCTGTCTCTCCCCGGAGCCTCCCGCCGTTGTCCGCGGGAGCGAGACGGGTCGCACCAGGTATGACGGGGAAAAGGTCAAAACCCGCAGCCCCCAAAAACAGCCCCCAAAAAGAAACATTTTTCGTGGCTCGCTCACTGAAGAAGACGACAGTGCCTATTTGTGGTGATAAAGGTCATTATTGGAGGGGTGAAGCTCACACCCCTGTACTGTTCAGTGACCGGTTTGGTTCGTCTGGAGTGTACGTGGCTCGGTTTGGACTAAGGAATGGAGCTATGGCAGGACAGCGTTGTGTAAATGCCACCAGATCGGTAAAAGCCATTTACATGTCCCTGCTCCCGTATAAACTGCGCTGCAAAAACACAATAATCAGTAGACCCTGTTCTAGTAGGGAAGTAAAGGTTGTGTGTCACACCATATAGACATAAATGAGGCATATGAGCCAGAGTATCTTTCACGAATATTCTATCAGGCTCTTTCTCTGAAATACCAGCCAGTGCCACTTTTGAAGGCATACTTTCCCTACTGCTCTTCAGAGATCGATCTGTGGAGCAAAATTAATAGATTGTAAGATATCGCTAACCTCTGGTGGTTTTTCATTTTCCTGCAAAAAAAAAGCTAAAAGGAGTTGGTTTAGGTATTTCTATCATCCACTGGCTATGAACAGCAAGAAGAAGGCATGCAGCCAAATCCTGCTTCGAGCATCATCCTGCATGGCTGCAACTGACTTTGATGTTGTAAATGTTTCTGAGAGTTTTGGCAGCCTGAGATGTTTTAAGCTAGCTAAAGCAGGACAGGAAAAGCAACCTTCCCCAGAGCAGTGTGTCTGCACGTGGTAGAAATCCCACTTGGTGACAAACAGTCTCTGGGAAGATTGTAGGACTGGGATATGAATAGAGAGGGCCTGACAGCACCTGTTACTGCCTAGGATAAAGTGTAATTATCTTTCCACATTTTGCTACTATAAAATTTGTGATATTTGGATGAAATTATATGTTAGTAGGCATAGAGTTTAATTTCTTCCCCAGGTGTTTCAAAGACCTTTCACAAGAAAGCCATATTCAAGAAGAGCTTCTGTCTTTCCTCTCAACTTTTCTCAAGTCAAATGGGAGATTTCTTTTTCATCTCACCAAGTGAAAGCTCTTCCAACACTGACTTTTAAAAACATTCCCTCTGGTTATTTTTACTTAACTGTTTCTATATGAGCAACAATATCATATGATTTTTGAAGCTGGCTAAGTCAGAATTTCCAAACTGCAGTCACCACTAAATTAGAAAGAAAGCAACCCACAAGTTGTTGAATAAGCTTTAATTAATGTGTTTGAATATTATTCCTCAGGGGTATTGAATGAACAGAAAAAAATAAAACATTTATGAAAAGCTATCAGTGGAATTATCTATGCAGAAACCAGCACACATCCAGTTTATAATTAGAGAAAAAAAGCCTACTTTGTGACAAAAGTTAAGGTTGCTGTATGACAGTATACCTAGCTATACATAACATGGCTTACATAGATAAGGAGTGGTTTCTTACTGTACAAATAATTAACATTGTCATAGAATTGCTACCTGATTTGCTGCAGACACTGTAGTTTGAACATTTTATAGATTGTTTCTATGTCTCTCTGCTAAATATTTTTATTTTAAGAAAAATAATTTATTTCTGTTCTATATCATCGGTTAGTTTTATGTCATGACAAGACTTTACCCATAATCCTGTGGTTATCCAATTCCTGTAAGCCTGTGACCATCTTAGGAGACTTCCCAAACTTCTGAAGGTATAAATCATGTTCCCTGTCCAAATCTCTCCACTTTTATAGTGACATTCTTCTAAGAGCTGTGCAGGATTATACAGTAGCTGATATTCTTTATTCATTCAAGTGTCTACTGCTTAGCCCTGAAGAATACTGACAGCACTTTTAAGTCCTGAGTAGAGTGTATTGTCCTGTTGGTCTTTAAAGCAACTTAATGCCTTTAAAAATGTTCTATACCTTGGCAAACCATGTCTTAGTGAACTAGTAAGTCCCTTCCCATAGCAAAGGTATCTACTAGTTGTTTTAGTTACTTTTCTTCTGTCTCTGCATAGTGTGTTCTCAGTTCATTGTTTTATAGTCTTTCTGTCTTTTCCTTCACCAAACACTAACACCTGTCTAATCAGGCAAAATAAGAGTAACTGATTACCAGAAGTCTGACCTCTTCAGGGTGTTAAAGAGATGCAGAGGATGCACAAGAAGTCTCCCCAGAAATCTTGGGAACAAAAGTTATTTAGAAAGTAAAAATCTTAAGACATTCAAAGTGCAGTTCACTGATTTTTCATTAACACTTGAAATCCAGGAACGCTTATTCAAGAAAAAAGGAACCCCAACCCCACACACACACATTAAATGAATACTTAGTGAGGTACTATATCACTGTCAGCTGTGATCTCAATTGTATTTGAAAGTTGAATAAGGCTTGCAGTGACTGGGAAGGACCTCTCTCACAAAAATCTATCAGGATGCTGCAAAGTTTTGTTTTGGTGATTCAGTAGATGGCACTTTTCCTTCTGGAAAAAAAAGTCCTATATCTCAGCCAAGTGTTACAAATAGAATGAACTGTACTCACACAAAGCAGTGATTTTATCATGCTGTTTTATTTATGCTATTTATTTTACGTATGGAGTCACTCGGATTTGGAAGATATGCAAGAAATCATGAGTAATCATAAAATGTACATGAATCACAGAAATTATTTTGCATGCGAATCAGCCACAGCAGTACTATCAGAAATGTAATGACTTTTAAATTTAGTCACTTGTCTCTTATTTAAAAAAAAAGCCCCAGATGCTTGCCTACTTGGAAGGACTTCTTTAGTACCATTTGTAGTTATTCTTGTATGAGAATAGAAAACAAAGGAGCACTTTATAGATTATATGTGTAAAACTACATCCCAGTTTCCTCCAGTTGTTAGTATTTCAGATAAATTAATTAAAAAATAATTTGCTTTTGCCTAATGAAGGTATTATGTTTCAAGTTTGGGCTATTTATCAAAGGCAAAACTTCCATAAAGCCTTTTAAATCAAACAGGATCTGGATGTTCTAATTAATTTTAAACAGTGTGAAACTTTCCAACCAAAAGCAAATAATTTACAAAGCAAAAAGATGTTGTAACAGAACATCTTAATTTGGTGAATGATAAAATAAAACCTTAATTTATTTTCTATCTCTCTTTAGAATTTGTCCTTAAAGGAAATATTCGACATATCTATATACAAGTTAGGGAAGCAGTGAAACAGTAAACCTGTCTTTTCTTGCCAATTGAAATGGTGTGGAAGAAAGCTTAGATCAATTGCCAGAGGCTTGAATGGCACATACTATTTAAAATGTTAATAAAATCGTCAAAATTAATCATAAGTTAAATTAAAACAATGGACTAAGATGAAGTACAATGCCACTAGCTTGCATTCCACATAATTGTTAACGACAGATTTTCATCTTTCATAGTTTTTATCCTAAGAGAACAGTACAGTAATCTCTTTTCAAAATGCTTCCATACTTAACTGAATATTATGTTCTTTTCTTAACTCTTAGACAGATTTTTAATGGTTATGATGAGAAAGTCACTCTGGTTGTTTATGTTCCAAACTGTGGAGTTGTAATTCATTTGCATAGAAGCTGAAAAGCTTTTCAGTTAAAGAAAAAAAAAATAGAAAACTTTTTCTGAAGGTGGTACAGTAAAATGACATTATATTCTTCCACTTTTTTAAAAACAGGTTATTCCTTTAAAAAAAACCTTAAAGTGTCACAAAATAAAAAACATACTTCTGAATTCAGTTTGTTTCTTTCCAAAATGTAGCTATAAAACATAATGGAAGTCAGGACTGGGGCAGCATCACCCTTTGCACCAATTACTTGTCATACTTTTCCATCATTTTTTTCTTGATATTTATTCAAAATCATACATACCATATGTATAACATGAAAGTCGTATCGTTCTGCCAATCCCCAGATACTTCTTATAAGGATTTACATATTGGTAAACATGGTTCAGGATTGATTATTTGCAAAGAAGAACTCCAGGCATGGAGCCAAGAAGCTGAACACACATCTTAAACTATCTTATTCTCCTTTCAAAGTAAAAGTAGAGCAGAATTTTATGCAATCCAAATCTATTTTCCTTGCATGTTGTTTGCAATGTGTAAAATGAGGATTGCAATAGAAGTTACTTTTCTTATCTGGAAAATCCTTTGTTGAGTGATGTGAAAAGAAAGAGCAGTTATTTTCTCCTAACTTAAAGACATACATGCAATAATTTCTCCATTAAATATGAATTAAATGTATCCTGTGCATCACTTATGTTCAGTTCCTTCAGTCTGCTCAGGATGGAATGTCACATTTATTAACCCAATTTAAAGAAAATCTATATTAATGTCTCTGTATTGAATACCAGCTCACAAAATTTACTACAGCTTCATGGGCAAGTAAGTGCTAGAAGATAAACATGTTGAAATTAAGTCCTTCTTTGAATTACTTCTGTTCTATCAGACTTCCTTTGTGAACTGTGA